GTCCGAACTCGGATTTTAGTGATTCGAAGTGCGTTAGAAGTCTGACGAAGAGTTCTATTAGCTCCAATGGTTGGATTATCTGTAGAATGAACGAGACACGAATGGCGTTGTTCTTTTTGTAATATCACGGGACTCTCGATTAGCCCGTACCTTCGTTATTCCGAAATTCTGTCGGCTCACGTAGTTCGTCGATTCACTTCAAGCGTTCACCGACGTCAATCGAACTCCTGTGAACCGGATAGTGACGTTCATCGTCGTTCCTTAATACTGAGCTGTTCGTAGAGACCTATAGGCAATTTTCGATGCCTACAGTAACAAAGTACAAGCGCAGGGGTTTTTTGTCAGAGGAAGGGGCAATGAGCGAGGAAAAGGCAAGGAAGGAAAGTCTAGATCAAAATCAAGACCTCTTACGAAAAGGCCGTGTTTTAAATGCGATGAGCTAGGACATTTCAAAGTAAATTATCCTAACAAGAGAGTAGGTGGGAAGAAGAACAACAACAAGACTGAAAGACGAGAAGGCAAGGAAGAGGTGAGCTACGCTTCAGGGGAAGGGAGCGATAATAAATGCTATGTTGTCACGGGTGGCGAGGATACCTCCGGGAAGTGGATACTTGATTCTGGTTGCTCTTACCATATGTGTCCAAATAGGAAGTGGTTTACAATCTACAGGAGCATTGATGGTGGAACCGTATTGATGGAGAACAACCATGCTTGTAAAACGGTAGGGTTAGGTGATATCAAGATCAATATGCATGATGGAGTGGTTCGAACCTTGATGGATGTAAGGCACGTTCCCGACTTGTAGAAAAATCTTATCTCAGTTGGTGCTTTAAACTCCGGGGGTTGTAATATTGTAACAGAGAACGAAGTGAAGAGGGTTGTTCGGGGTTCCTTAGTAGCGATGAAGGGCATTCGTCACGGTAACCTATATACCCTCTTGGGTACGACGGTGACGGGAGATGCAGCTGTTGGAACTGATGGAAGTGGTAGAGACCCATGTGAGCACGCACGGTTATGGTATAGGAGGCTTGGGCACATGTAAGAGAAGGGTCTAGATCTGTTCGGTAAGGATGGTTTGTTGAAGAATCTGAAGAAGCCTTGCAGGGATTTTTGTGAGGACTGTGTGTATGGAAAGGCACACAGGGTCTGGTTTCTAACAAGCGAACACAAGAGTAGATGGATACTAGATTATGTGCACATGGATGTTTGGGGTCCGACTTCGACAACTTCCAAGGGTGGTTCCAGATATTTTGTCTCATTCATAGATGATCATTCGAGGTATGCTTGGATTTATTTTCTGAAGCATAAGAATGAGGTATTTGAGACATTCTTATTTTCTGAAGCATAAGAATGAGGTATTTGAGACATTCAAGAAGTGGAAGGTGATGGTTGAGAATAGAACAGGGAAAAAATTGAAGACATTAAGATCTGACAACGATACAGAGTATACATCTGGTGCCTTCAATGAGTTCTGTGATCAAGAGGGGATTGTCAGACACTGGATAGTTAGATCTATACCACAACAAAATGGGGTCATGGAGAGACTAAACCGAACACTACGGGAGAAAGCAGTGAGTATGCGATCATATGCTGGTTTGGGCAAAGAATGGTGGGCAGGGTCAATTGCTACAGCTTGCTATATTATGAATCGATCCCACATTCTATATTAGATGGTGATACACCCTATCGGGTGTGGTCAGGGGAACATGCAAATTATGAGAGACTCTGAATTTTTGGGTGTACCGCCTACTATCACGTCAACAAGGGAAAGCTTGACGCCAGGGCCAAAAAGGTAATTTTCTTGGGGTATGCAAAGGGTGTAAAGGGTTATCGCCTTTGGTGTACAGAAGATTCGAAGTTCGTGATCAGCAAGGACGTTACCTTTGATGAGAAGTTCATGATTGCTAGGGTGCCCAAGGATGATGGTGTTGAGACTGTTGGGAATTCTAAGTCCCAGGTTATTAAGATAGAACCTAAAGACCAACCAGATTCTAGTCGTGTTCAAGTGAGAAATCAGGTAGATGATGAGCTTGAGCAGGAGGAGGTTCAG